CCCTGCCCCCTAGTACTTACCAGCTCAGAGTCAGCCACAGCTTGCTGCTACAGCCACCAAGGGCTGCCCAAATCATCAAAGCTCTCTGAATCTTTTCCAAAGATTCAGAGAGCTTTGAATCAATTCGGACCTTTAACTTGGCCCCCTGATTCAATTCAGATTTGGAGATTCAGCCACCAAATCAGACTGAATCTCCTCCGAATCAAATCACCACCCAAAGCTTCACATGGCCCTACTGGCTTGATGCAGAGCTCTTCACCCTGTGGCTCACAGGACCAGACTGACTACCTTGGCTCAAGGCCCAGCTTAGGTCACTTCAGCTCTGTCTGCTTCTGGTCAGTTGACTTGCAGCTGTATTCTGTCTTATTGTACTATTGCTGTGCACAACAATAGCCACACTCAGCTTCTAGCCTCTAGCTGCTTATCCCTTTGTAGCTAGCCTTCATTTACCCTTCCAGGTGCTGTCTAGTGTCTACTACTTTTTTTTTTCTTTTAAAATAACAGGAGCCCCTGGCCTCCTGTTACAGTAGCACATTTAAAATTCATAATCGAATATAATTTAACACCATGGTGCTCAAGGGCCATAATAAAGAATTTCAGAGGCTGCAAGTGGTCTTTTAAACCACAAAAGGGGCACAAGTAATTTTATACTGATGCAACTAAAGCAGAATTTGGCCCCAATTTATTTAATATACAGGAGTTGTATAAAAAAACATTTTTTTTATTCTTTCAGAGTTGCACTCCAACTTTGCTTTGTTTCTTGGGTGCTAGCATTCCATGAAAGTACTTTTCCTTCCTTATTTTAGTTTCCTTTTTTCACTAGTGGTAACTAGATTCTGAAATTAGTTTCAAAATGTAGAGAGGAATTAAAATATGATTTCTTGCAATCAGATTCTTTTCTACTTTGAATAAGGTAGACCTATTTCTGACAGTTACCTTTGGGATCTGGCTAAAACACCTTTACATCAACCATCCAACTTCAGTATAATTATCTTCAGGTATTTTCACTTTTTTTATATATGATTAATCATGTTCACATTTTATTGGTGTTGTCTATTTGTAACCATCAGACAGACATTGCAGAAGTCACTGGGCCTTTAGAGGCAGTTTCTACCCTCCTTACTCGAAAGAAGTACTACTATAAATGGAGGCAGTGAAATCAGTGGGCTGTTTGGAGCCTAAAGGACTGCTTGGCTTGAGGATGGCAGAACTGAGCCTATAGAGATTTGCAGGGGATTGAGAATGTATGGGGGAAAGACTTGGTGCAAATCAATTTTACAACAGTAATTCTCTCAATTGTATTGAGTATTAAAGGCATTTTAGATATGCCTTAGGATGAATTGAGTTCTTGGCAGCCTTCAATTCTCTCTCCTTCCTCTTTGCTGAAATAAGAGCATGATTGTTTATTGACAAAGAGCTCCAATTCCCTATTTATGTATTAGCTCCTGTAACACCATAATGGACATTGTACTGCAAAATAGCCTGCAGCAGGGCCAGGTGTAGGGTTCTTTGTGAGATAAAGTTACTACTGCATCTTTGTGCATCATGTAACCTGCTTAGACAGAGCAGTTGGATATCATTTGGTGTTCAATTATCTACTATAACTGGTGTCTCAAATGACCTATGGCCAAATTACTTTATGCCTGTAGTTAAAATGCAGAATGAAGAGCTGCTTCTGTTCTTTGAACAGTTGTCTAAACTCGTGATGCAATAAATGATTTTAATGATGACCCTAATGATCAGATAATTCATGGTTATCACTCCTACTAGCCTTGTAAACCCTGGCAGTGAAGGACGTGAAACTTAATCCCTTCCACAAAACCTGTTTAAGATATGTCTAGTGTTGCAGATGAAGCCTGGACAGAGGGGAGGCATGGCGCACAGATCAGGCATGGCACAGTGAGCATATATGGCATAGGGAGGCTGGGGAGAGCGAGCCCTCCCACTGATGTGTGGGGCTGGTGCTCCCAACACCACTAAGGAGGTCCATGAAGCCCTGGCCAGCTGTCTCCTGGCCCATGGGGACGAGGAGCACTCGCCAGATGAGTAGGACCAAGGGGTTTTGAATGCCTGCACCCTGGCACCAGGTGATGGATCTCCTGCCCGAGGTTCCTCTGGTCCTGCACCACCTAGCCAACACTCCCCCTGACATACACACACTCCCCTGAAGGCCACATCCTTGGCCATGGGGAAGTGTGGTGCAAGAAAGATATTCAGTTTACAATGTTACAGTTGCCAAACTGTTCTTGTTTTTAATAAAGAAAACCTGTTGAACATTGCCTGTGTCAGAACTTGGTCCCTCTTCGCACCGATGCAAACCAGAAAACCTTTAGAGGCAGCTCAGGGTGGAGAACTTTGTGAAAGGGCAAAAATAACCTGGAGGGGCACTTAGGACAGGGAACAGGGGGAGGGGGGCAGGAGCTGTGTGGGGGAGGGATTGGAGTTAGGGGGAGTACTGCAAGAATAGAACTCAACACAGATACTTGGAGGAGAAGTGTGGGGAAAGTGGCTTTAGACCTGATATACTAGTTCCCTGACTTAGGAGCAAAGACCAGGGACTTTTCTCCATGTAGGAGGTGGACAGGTTGGTGATCCCAGATCCACTGTCTGCGTGAGAGTGTTGTGGAGGGGGGAAACCTTCCTGGTTTTACAGCCACGTGCCCTGAGTCAGAATCCCCAGTGTACCTCTGCAGGCAGAGAACCTCAGGTTAGCAGAGGCATGTTCAGTGACTCCAACTCAGAGCTCACCTCTGCAAATGGGGAACTCTGGGTTTCCCTGCTTACAGAGGCATACCTGGGAAATTGCCAGGTGTATATATATATGTAAACAATGTCCTGAGTGGTGTCTTACAGGATCACACCTCTGAAGCCCTGGGAGCAGCAGGGGCTGAATTCTGCAGGACAATGGGCAACATGTTTCACCCAGTGAAGCAGATCAACTGTCCTGGGACACAACCTGGCACAGCTGATCCACTTAATTTTATGACATCTGTTTGTAGCCTTACTGTCCCTTTCCCATTGTCAAAGCTATAAGGAGGCCACTGTGCAAATGAGAAATGGGTCGAATAAATTCAAATACTAAATCCTTTTGGTTCTCTGTATAGAACAAAAAAATCCTTAAGAAATAATTCTTAACAAGATTTATTAACAAGATGAGGCATCACAAAAACTCTGGTGTGGGCTGTCATACAAATAAGCAGGGTCTTGGGGAATCGTGTTCTCTGGGTGTTGGGAGGGTAGACTTGTCAGGGTGTATTGGTTTGTAATGTTGAATGTCATGTACTGTAATGTTGTAGTGTCAACTACAGCTTCCAGAAGCCTGCAGGGCACTGGAGAAAGAAACTATAGTATGAACTACAACCCCCAGAAGCTTCCAGGGGACTGGAGGAATGAGCTGCAACATGCATTACAGTTCCCAGAAGGCTGCAGGTGATGAAGGAAGGGGAAAAGCAGCAACAGAGCATAGGACACTGGCTGGGAGAGAGACCTGGCTGAAGACTTGGGGAGGAGCAGCAGAGCCAAGACTGTGAGTTGTAGCAATAAGGCTCAGATGTGGGAGCCCTGGCAGATGGCAATTAAGTGTTTTTTGGGACCAGAGGTTGGTTAGGAGTCCCTCCAGAATTGTGGGAGGGTTTAAGGTTTTTCAAATGTATATACTGGGGTATTAGTGTTCCCTACATGTTACCTATTCTTGAGTGATTTCACCACAGTGTCACTGTTTCTTACCTGTTACTTGAATCCTAAGTGTATGTACCTTATGTTAATGTTTATCCACGTGTGCCTGTCCCTTTCTCCCTAGCCTGTCAGCTTGTGACCCTAATCCCCTATATAACAGTGGGAACTTCCCTTGCCAGCTCCCCTGTGACAGTTCCTGGGGTTGCAAGTTTTGGTACAAGGGAAAAGGAGTGATTAACTCAGCCCTTCAGTATTTAAGTGCCTACAGTTGGCAACATTAATAGCATCTGTAAAGGAGACAATGAATCTCTCAAGTAAGCTAGCAGAGAACTGCCATGATGGTGTCTGTAGCAGCAGTTCCTAGGAATGACACAGTGAGCCCCATCCACACTCTTACATTTGAAAACATCAAGTAAAGGAAGTGCTTGCCATTTCTAATTTTGCTAGTAAGATGTCTTTGTTTTCTACAGGCTGCAGCAAGGTAGTACGCATGAATTATTGCCATATTCCTGTCTTTTGCCAGTCATCCCAGGACAGATCTTCACTGTACAACTTCAGGAACTGATTAAGCAAAGCAGATAAACGTGAATTGTTAAAGAAGGAAGTACTGCATTTAACAGGATTTCTCATGACTAAAATTAAACATGTGCTTAAGTACCATGCTTTTGCACATATAAACACAACCCAGAATAAAATATGCACCCTGTTTCTGAAAGGCAGAATGAAAAAAAAAAAATAAAAAAATCTTTCTTTGTAGTAAGTAACTGAGTAGCAGCATCTAAAGGGCTAAGACTGCTCTTGGTTCTGTTCCCTGTGGGCACCTATACTTGTGCCAGATGCCTGATCTGACGTGTGCTATTTAGCATGCATCACACCAGACTCAATTTATCAAGTGCTAATTAGCACTCAATAAATCTACAGTCTGAATCTACACTCCAAATCTACACTACAGTGCTAATTAACGCACTCCAGCAGCCTCGGCATCACATGTATTCAGCATCCCTGTACTTCAAAATGGCAGTGAGGGTATTTTAACTGAAAGTGGTTGAACAAGCTTTAGTTAAAGCACCCCTGCCACCATTTTGAAGTGTGGGGATGCTGAATACAGGAGATGCTGTGGGTGCTTTAATACGAGTGATTCCCAAGAGCTGCTTTAATTAAACCTTCCCCCTCCACCCCCCAACCTGGAGCACATGTAAAGATGCTGTTTGAGCTTGCAGATTTTACTTTCACTTTTGTCCAGTAACCTGTAGAAACTGTTCACACTGTATTTTTCATATATAACACACAGTACAATTACCAGCAGCTGTTTCTGGGGGGACAAGTATGTGTTATATGTGAGAAAATGTAGTACTTTGCTAGATTGAAGACTCATTTTTTTGGTGAGAGATACAGGAAAGGATTTGCTTTGGAGTCAATGAACACTGACCTTTCATCGTCCGGCAGAGATGGCTATGAAGTGATGATTTCTACTTTATTGTTTTTTCAAGTGGCAGTCTCTTAATCAAAGAATTTTAACTTGAATTTCACTGCATCTACACAAAATACTATTGACAGGCCATAGGGCCAGTATGTATAAAGTAAATGACAGTATTTGATTAATTTCAAACATGGTTTTCAAAGCTTTAAAGTTTTATGCCACAAAATGTAATTGTCTTCAATAAATAGTAAAGAGAATTCCTAGCTCTTGCCTGTCATGCTTTTGCTGCTGAAAGACAAAAATAATACTATGAGGTTTCAAAATGCATCAAAATAAGGCACTGGAATTAATTAAAATTTTTTTTTTTATTGAGTTCATCAGTAAAACAAACACAGTTATTAGCTCTACCATCTCCCATAGGCATCATTGCTGCTGTCAATTTGCAATTTAAGTGATAAAGATATGAAAAGTATCATAAAGCACATGACAAACATGATCCCAGTCCTTTCAACACAAACTTTTATGTAACTTAACCCATGTGAGTAGTTGTTCCCATTAAGTTCTGTAAGAATTTTCACATGCATGGAGTTATTCATTTGTGGAAGTGTTAGCTAGACTGGAATTTACATCAGTATAACCACTCTTAAAATGGAGGGGATAGCTAATTGATACAGAGGGATCCAGGTTTTCCATTTCCTATTGAAAAACAGAAAAAACCCCACGGATTTCCATGATTTTATCAGAGAAAAAATGGTTTTCCCTTTTAGCAGAGATACCTGTGGATTTCCCGCTTTTGCAAAGAGCTCTGCAGGTGGGAAGAGTTCCAGCCTGCAAGAACTGATTGCAGAAAGGGCAGGAAACCCCCAACCCTGTCCAGAAAGGCTGGGGCCTGAGGCTCTGTCACCTGAAGCTTGGCTCTTTCCTTCCTGGAGCCTGTGAAGTAAGTGGGGCATGCAGGGGGCTAGGAGCCACCTGTGGCAGGGCTGGAGGGTTGCAAGTCATGGCTGGGGGGCACTGACAGGGCTGGGGGGGCTCTGGGTGGTAGGTGGGGGTGGGGGCAACTGCTAGGGCTGGAGGAAGAGCCAGTGGGGCAGGTCGGGGGCAGGACATTGGTGTGTGCTGGGGGCTGAGGGAGCAGGGAGGTGTTGGGAGAAGCCCCACATGGAGTGTCTGCCAGTGGCACGTGAACTGGGAGTGGCACACTATCACCAGGCCAGGCTTTTCCAGAGGTGGGGGGTGGGGCCGGCTCCTGGTGGCACCTTGCACTCCCGGGGAGCAGGGGGGGGACCTGGCCCCCTGATCTGTGTGTGGAAAGGGGGCAGGGTGGGCACACTGCGGGCTTGTGCTCCCCACCCTGCTGCACTCCCCCAGGGCTGCCTCAGCACAGCGCATGCGACCCGGCGTGGCAGAACACAGTGGGGATGCACATGAAAGCTTCCTGCTGCTCTGAGCTCCATACTACCCTAGCCACACTTCCCCTGTGTGCACAGGGGCAGTGTGGGCAGCAGCACAGGGTTGTGCCCCTTGCTGCTGCCCTTGCCTGCAGGGAAAGCGTGGCTAGGGCAACACGGAGCTTTCAAGGGAAAACAGCTTTCCTGCGTGTCCCTGCTGTGCTGGGTCGCACATGCTGCCCTGCAGAAACCCCAGGGGAGGGCAGCAGGGCAGGGAACACAAGCTTGCAGAGCACACCTACCTTGTCCCCACCCCCCTCACAGATCTGGAGGGCGCAGGTTCCCCCTGCCACCCAGGAGTGCGCATTGCAGCCAGGAGCCAGCCATGCTCCTGCCTGAGCCTGCAGCAAGCAGGCAGGAGGGGAGACCTGGCTCCGCTGCCTTCGGTTGGGGGCAGGGAGCTGCAGACCTTGGTCCCTGGTCCCATAGCCCTGGCAGCTGGG